TGCAGGCAGGGCGAAACCTTGGGCAAGTTTCCTTACTTCACACAGAGCCTAATAATAATCCCTCCAAAAAAAATCAATAATAAATGGTCATTTTCAATCTACGACTGTTTGTGGGACATTGCTGTGCGCACTTGGCTGCCGCGTTCGCCCACAAATATACAGTCAATTCACTTTACAGTGTGTTCTGTGAAGCGCTTTGGGACTTCCTCCTGACGTGAAAAGCGCTATATCAAATGCAAGGATTATTATTATTAATATTATTATTAAACTGGTGGCAGACAGCATAGAGAGGAGAGGAGAGGAGAGGAGAAGAGAGATTGGGGGAAAAGAGAAAAGTGGAGTGAGAACAAAAACGGGAAAGTGGAAATTGGACAGAGAGCGCGTAGAAGGAAGGTGTTGAAAGGCAGAGTGAGGGGATAAAATGTGGAGAGGGAGGGCAAGGTTGTGGGTTGAGAGGGAAGGCGAGAGTATTTGGGGAAAGCGAGGGGAGAATGAGGAGGAAACAAATTGGGAGAGCGAGGGTGTGAGAGGGCAGGTGGGGGAATGGTAGAGGGAGGGGAGACGGAAGCGGAATGGGGCGAGGGTGAGTTTGGGGGAGCAGAAGAGAGAGCAGGAAAGATATCGAGGGGGAGAAGGAAGGGGTGGTTGGAGTGGGAGTTTTTTGTGAACAGCACAGTATAGAGAGAGGGAAGAGTAAGGAAGAGATGAGTGGGGGGAGGAAGAGTTGAGAGTGCACGGATAAGTAGGGCGTAGGGAGTGGGAGGGGACGATTAGAAGAAGGGGAAAGGCAGGGGGAGAAGGAATCGGGAAAGGACACGGGCTGTTGTCTTTTTTGGAGAGAAGATTGAAAGGGAATGGAAGTCTTTGAATGATAATGTCCAGGTAGCTTTCTCGCATGAAGTTATTTGGTGTATATTGCTAATTTGCTTGTTAATTGCAAGTTGTCAAAATGTAAGTTATTTTAATGGGGAACGGGAGAGGAACAATTGGGAAAGGCAACACTCCTTCCGAAAGGGAGAAACAGTTTGTTCTGTCTGTTACCGGTATTTGAGATCATTTTTTTTTTCTGGGCGCTCAACATACCGCATTTCTCCAATACTTGAAACAGAAAGAGAAAATATACTTCCACAGAAAATACCGCTCAGCCTTATGGTTTGTTTATGAATCTGTGAAAGAGTTATTTGTTAAGTCTTATTATATGCTATCTCCATCGTGTCTGTGCTGGTGCTCTCGCCCGAAATCGAGCTCTTTAATCTACTCCCATTCCCTGCTCTCTCAATCTCCCCATAGGGTCTATGATATTGCTTACTCTCCCACCGGAGACCTCGACTGTAACCCCATCCCCTGTCGATTCTCTCCTTTTCGTGTCTCTGCTCGTGCCCGTTCTCCACTGCGGCCCATATTAGTGATGACTTTAAATAGCTGCCCTGTAATTAAGGACTGACCATTGATGCTGTGAGAGACCGAGCCGATCAGATCCCTGCTTGTATGAATTAATGTATTAAAACATTCCTGCTTTAATCTTGTTCTTTTCTTGTGCAGTGATGCTTCTGGAATTAAAGACAGTGGAATCTGCAGGTTAGTGAAACAATCTCACAGACAAAAGTTGCAATGGAAACATTAGCCGTTGAGAGTGAGATTCGGCCTCTCTTAAATAATAAATAAATGAATAAATGAACGAATGAATGAACGAACGAACGAAACGAAGAAAGAAAGAAGTAAATGAATGAATGAATAAATGAATAAATGAATAAATAAATGCCTCCATCTTCACCTCCATCTGCGTAACAGGAGGAGGTACCAACTCACAATCCACAGGCCACGTTAATAGTCTGATTCCAACTTCCACTTTACACTCACTCCTTCCGTTACACCTTGGTGACCGCGTTTTCTCCAATTATATCCTGAAACCGTGGAACATTCTTCCTCTATCTCTCGGCACTACACCTTCTTTGAAGTCTATTCTGTGAAGCGCTTTGGGACGTCCTCCCGACGTGAAAAGCGCTATATCAAATGCAAGGATTATTATTATTATTATTATTATTATTTGTCTATCATCAGGTGACGCCTGAAGAATTTCCTACGGTCACTTCCCCGTGCCCCCGATTCGGTGTCGCGCTCCGCCTGTGTGAAGCACTCTGCGACCTTACACTGTGTGAGGGCGCTGTGTCAATACAAGTTGTTTTTTTTTGGTATTGCGACAGCTGTAGGTCTGGGTTTAAATGAAGATTTTTGATCGGGTGACCCATGGGAGGAAGTTGGAGGAATTAAGCGGGAGATGTGGGGGTTTGGAGGGTGCGGCCATACGGTGGTAGCTATGCCCTGTGTGGGGGATGGGGAAATGGGGGAATGTGTCCGTACGTGGGGTCTATACGCTTGGGATGGGCTTTACTCTGGAGTTGGCTGTAACTGTGAGCTGCTGTGTCTGGAGTGACGTTCTTGCCCCGGAGGAGGAGCTGCGCGGTGTGGTAGGCGACATACCCTTATGTGGGGGGTCGGGAGGGTGTTGTTGGGATGGGTGCTGTGCCTGAGGAGTGGGGAGGCTGTGCTCGGTGAGGAGGGGGTGCGTCGTGGATCTGTATCTTGGGGAATCTGTGTCTGGGATGCTTTGCCGGCGCATATGGTCTGTGCCTAGGGAATGGGGGCGTGTGTTCTTGGTTGTGCTCTTGGAGAATCTGTGCCCTGGTGGGTCATTGCCCAAGGGATGTTCTATTCAATGTGGTCATTGCTTTGCTTGGTCATATATATGTAGCCCTATTTAGTGCCTACCTCTTCAGTTGGTGTACAAACGTTGTAACTTAGCCTGACTTAAACCTGGGCTATTAATGTACTAATAAAACTGCAATGTCTGCGTCTTTATCTTTGTATCTGCTAATAACCGATTGACGTGGAAATATGATGTATACCTCAACAGAAAGGCATGCTTGTACTAATTACATGTTCGAATTTTGGAGGAACTCCTATCGCTGATGAGATGTATTTAACAAAATAATATTGAATTTATCCCCCAAAATAAAAAAATGCGTGTGTTCTGCAACAAGGTAGAGCAAAGGAAATGGATATAATTGTTCGTGGGAATGCCCTATAGTTACATAAACTATAATAATCTAATATAAAGTATAACAATAAAAAGGACAGTAAAATAGTATAAACTAGTAAAATAATCCTTGCATTTGATAGCCTCTTATCACGTCTTCGAAACGTCTAAAAGCACTTCAAGGTTTACACTGCAATGTGAATCGGCTCAATATTTTGTGGGAGAAATGGGGCAGTCAATCATGCACAATGGTGTCTCACGAACACTCATGGATTCAGCGAACAAATTATTATTGATCTTGTTGAATGGATTGTAATCCCCGGAAAAGAAATCCAACATTTGACTAATGGGTTCCTACTGTCTGCCAGGTAAACAGAGGCGTGTTGCGGGAGGAAGCTTCCCTAACGTTTCAACTTGCCTGGGAATCAAAATATCAAGTATAGTAATCCAAGATAAAGCACAATATTCTAATACAAAGCTAAATAAACTGATATAACATATAATAGCATGACGTAACACACAATAATATAATATAAACTGTAATAACGCTATCCTTTGTTTGCAAACGTAACTGCAACGGGTGCAGTTTTGGTGTAGTAAACTGTTTCTGTCATTGTGATCCTCGGATCGTAGACTGTATATCGCTAGCAGTCACTGAAACCATTAATATGATAATCAGGAAACAAAAAACAGAAGTCGCTGGGACAACTAAGCGGTTCAGGGAGCAACAATAGAGAAAGGAAAGTGTGTCCACATTTCTGGTTTGCGTCCCCACATCAGAAATGGTGAAGGCTTTGTTCTGACGAGGGGTCGTGAGCACGAGGCGTGTACTCACATTCCGTTCTCCATAAATGCTGCCTGACCCGCTAAGTGTTCCCAGTGACTTTGTTTTTGTACCAGATTTCCAGCGTCTTTTTTATGTTTTGATTATAATGATTATTATTGCTGTTGCTTTGTCTAACCCCCAGAAAAACTCCCAGTGTGTCAGAGGCTCTGTACATTTACAACGTATTGCATTATCCTGGGTGACTGAAAGTTTAACAGGAAAGAAACTCTTAATACTTTGTGTGATATCTTGCAGAGAGTGTGAGTGTGAGGCTGGTAAATGGCAGCAGCCCGTGTGCCGGGAGAGTGGAAGTTTAACACTATGGACAGTGGGGCACAGTGTATGGCAAAGGCTATGACAATGGCAATCTGACGTGGGGTATGAAGGCCGCGACTGTTGTGTGTAAGGAGCTGAACTGTGGATTCACGCTGTCAGCACTCGTGAGAGCTCACTTTGGGAAAAGATCAGATCCCATTGTAACGTGGGGTGTTCCCTGTAGAGGGAGAGAGTCTGCTCTGAGGATTGTTCCTCGCGGCCCTGGCTTCACTATACCGGGCCACACACCTATGATGCCGGCGTGATCTGGGGAGGCGTTTAGCGGGATATACACAGGGACAGACTTCAGCACAAAGCAAGTGAGGAATGCAAACGCAGGACATGTGATAGCAGAATCGTGAGCACAGGGGGGGTGAGCAAAGGCGTGTCATCACAGGGTGCAGCGTGAGCACAGGGCGTAAGCGCAGGTGTCAGATAAGTACCCGGTGGGGTGAGAACAGTGGGATGAACACAGTGTGCTGAGCACAGAAGGGTAAGCATTGGCAGAGAAGCACTTGGGCTGTGAATATAATAATCCTTGCATTTGATATAGCGCTTTTCACGTCGGGAGGACGTCCCAAAGCGCTTCACAGAACACACTGCAAAGTGAATTGACTGTATATTTGTGGGCGAACGCGGCAGCCAATTGCGCACAGCAATGTCCCACAAACAGTCGTGGATTGAAAATGAACAATTTATTATTGTTTTGGGTTTTTGGAGAGATTATTATTAGGCGTGTGGAGTAAGGAAACTTGCCCAAGGTTTCGCCCTGCCTGGAATTGAACTTAGGTCGCTCGCTTGCAAAGCAAGTGCTCTAACCACTGAGCTACAGGACTCCACTATAGATGAGGAGTGAGCGCTGCGTGCCTGTGCTATGCATATGTGAGCAGAGGGATGTGCTAAGTTCAGATGGGTGGGTTTGAGCACACGGTAGTGTAAGAACAGGGCTTATGTACACGTGCGGACAGGTGGGAATGAGCACATTGGGTGGATACAGGGAGAGAGTAAGCACAGTAGGGGTACCACAAGGTTTGTGAGTACATGTGATATGAGCACAGAGGTTGAACAAAGGTGGGTGGGCACTGACGGTGAGCTGAGCAAAATAGGGATCAGCAAAATGGGGTTGAGAACAGGTGAATTGGGCAGAGTGGGGTTCACCTGAATTGTGTGAGAACAATGAGTGAGCATATTTCGGGTGAGCACAAGGGTGACCAGCAGAAAGGGGGTGAGCCTACGTGGGAAGACCATAGAGTGGGGGAGAAAACAGGAGGTGAGGATAGCGATGGCTCAGTAAACTGGATGGTGAGCATTGTGGTTGTGCACAGGCGAGGTGATAAATGGGGGGTGAGCACATGAAAGCTAAGTAAAGATGGGGTTTGACCATAGGGTGGTTGACCACAAGGGTGAGCACAGGTTTTGTGAGCAGAGTGGTTGGTGAGCACAGTGAGTGAACAGATGGTGTTCAGTACAGGGTGGATGAACATAGGGAGAGGGATAGCCAAAGGTGTTTGAGTACAGGGCTGAGCACAAGAGGGTTTTGCACAGGGAATTGTGAGCACAATTGCTGAGCACAGGGTGTGAGGACAGCGGGTGAGCATAGATGGTGTGTACACAATTGGGAGGGTGAGCATAGTGTGTGAGCAAAATGTGACTGCGCACCACAAGGTGGTGGGAGCGGTCTGAGCGCAAAGGTGGTAAGCACAGTGTAAAGTGAGCACAAAGGTCAACGGGCAAAGGGGAATGAGCACAGTAGGCGTGAGCGAAATGATTGATCACAAGTATTGATCCAAAAGGGAGGCTCAGGAGAGGTTGAAAACAAAGGATTCTGAGAAGAGGGGCACCTGAGCCTAGGGGCCGTTCGGGACACTGGAGGCGGGCGAGCACAAGAGGCTGAGCACAGTGGGGGTGAGAACAGGGGGTGATCAGAAGTCGGGAAGTCAGTGGGAGGGTGAGCATAGTGGATCGAGAAAACAGAGGCTGAGAGCAGGGGGCGGTGAGCACAGAAGGAAGCACAGGTGGGAATGAGCACAGGGAAGGGTGAGCACACTTAGTGTGAGCCATGGTGGTTGGCGGGGGCAGTTGACCACAGATAGGTGAGCACAGAGCGGGTGGTCACAACGAGGGTGGGCACTAGGTTGCGGGTGCACAATGGGCGTCATCACAATGGAGGCTGAGCACGGGGTGCCGTGAGCCGAGGGGTGTGAGCACAGTGGGGGTGAGACAGGGGATGATCACACTTGGGGATGTCAGTGGGAAGGTGAGGTGTTAGAAAAGAGAGGCGTGAGAGGAATGGGTCGATGAGCACTGGAAGGAAGCACAGTGGGGAATGATTGGGGTGAGCAAAGGGGACGTGAGAAAAGCAAGGTGAGCACAAGTGGCGTGAGCGCAGTTGGAGTGAGCAACTCGGGGGGCACAGGAGATTAGAGCACAAGCGGGTGTGTGCAAAATGGGTGTGAGCCCATTGGTCAGATGAACACAGGGTTGGAACACAGGGGTTAGCAATGGATGTGTTAGAAAAAGCGGGGTGAGCACGGGGGCAAAAAATCGGTGAGTGAGAAAACAAGTGGTTGGGAAATGGGGAATAGAGCAAAGCGTTTAGCAGAAGGGGTTGGTTGGAGCACACGGGATATGGGTTGAGCACATGATGGCCTGAGTACAGGGGGAGTGAGCACGTGGGGTGGTGAACACAGGAGGGTGAGCACAAGGTTAGTGAACAAAAGTGGGGGTGGTAGGTGAGCACGATGGGAATGAGCACAGGGTGTCTGAGCGCGAGGTGTGAGCACAGGATGGGGTCCGCACAGTTGGTGTGAGCGTAGGGTGTGAGAGCTCAAGGGGAGAGCACAATGGGGTGAGAATGGTGGAGGGTGAGCATAGGAGGTGTGAGCACAAGAGGGTGGGTCGCACACAAGGGGTTAAGTACATGGGGTTTTAGTACAGTGGTTAGGATTAGCATATGTGCTAAGCGAAGGGGAGGTTCAGCACAAGAGTTTGGGAGTGCAGTGGGGATGTGAGCATAGTGTAGTGAACACTGGAGGTTCAGCCAAAGTCGTGTTATCACATGGGGTATGAACACATTGGGTGTAAGCACAGTGAAGATGAGTACTGTTGGATGTGAGCACAGAGTGGGGGTGTGAGCACTATTTTTCTCAGACCAAACAGAGAAAAGGCTTGTTAATTTCTCTCTCGCTCTCGCTCACTCTCTCTCTCTCACAGACCAGATTGAGTTACGGCTATTGAATGGTTCTCACTCCTGTTCGGGCCGGGTTGAATTGCTGTTTGAGGGTCAGTGGGGGACAGTGTGTGACGATAACTGGGATTTGGCTGACGCTCATGTTGTTTGCTCGGAGCTGAACTGTGGACCGGCGATCACGGCGGCGACAAATGCGAGGTTTGGTCGAGGACAAGGCCACATCTGGCTCGATGACGTGGCCTGTGTCGGCAATGAGTCCCACCTGTGGCGGTGCCCGGCTGCAAAAGTGAACCAACACAACTGTGATCACGGCGAGGACGCAGGGGTGGTGTGCATGGGTCAGTGAATTCCTCCATCATTCTCTCTTTCTCTAATCCTCTATCTGTCTCTCCTTACCTTGATCTCTTTCTCAGTCTCTCTGTCTCCTCGTCTCTGTATTTCCCTGTCTTTCTTTCTGTCTTTCTGTCTTTCTGTCTTTCTGACTTTCAGGCTAACTCTCATTCTTTCTTTCATTCTTTCTTTCTTTCAGCATTTCTTTCTTTCATGATTTCTTTAATTCTTTCTTTCTGTCTCCCTTTCTCTCTGTCACTCACTGTCTTCCATCTTTCTATCCCTCACTGTCTCCCTCAAACTTCTGCCAACAAAACACTACACTTTACATGGTGTCCTGTGACGTGCTTTGAGAAGACTCGAACATGTGATGAGGCGTTTTAAGAATTGTAGAGACTCTATTTCCCTCTATCTCCATCTGTCTTTATCTCCTTTTATAATATAATGGAGCGGTGGAATAGTCGCGAGCGGTTGAATAATCGCGTACTCTTCCTAGGTTCCCATATATATGTCAATATCTTCATCCACTCATTTCACTATCTTTCCATCTGCTCCATTTCTGCTTCACTCTATATCATTTTGTCCATCATCTTTCCATCTTTCAAAACCTCTCCATCTCTCCTTCCATCACTCTCCATATCTCTGCATTTCCATCGACTCTCCGCCTCTCTCTCATTCTCTCTGCAGCGCTCTCTCACTCTCTTTCTGTTTCTCTCTGTATCTCTCTCACGCTCTCTATCTCTCTCTCTGTATATCTCCCTCTCTTTCCATTTCTGTCTCTGTCTGTCTTACTCATTCACTCTCGCTCTCTCTCTCTTATTCACTCACTCTAGCTCTCCCTCTCTTAGTCACTCGCTCGCTCGCTCTCCTACTCTCTCGCTCTCTCTCTTTCTCACTCACCCACTCACGCTCACTCTCCCTTACTCACTCACGTTTTCTCTCTTTTACTCACTCACTCTCGCTCTTTCTCCCTTACTCCCTCATTCTCTCATACTATCTTAACCTCGCAGACAAGATGGCTTGTTCATCTCTCTCTCTATCTCTGACTCTCTCTCTCTCTCTCTCTCTCTCACACAGACAAGATGGAGTTACGGTTAGTCAATGGCTCTCATGCCTGTTCGGGCCGGATTGAGCTGCTCTTTGAGGGGCAATGGGGCACAGTGTGTGATGATGGTTGGGATTTGGCTGACGCTCGTGTTGTTTGCTCGGTGGTGGGCTGTGGGCCAGCAATTGCAGTGGAGACCAATGCGAGATTTGGACAAGGACAAGGGCAGATCTGGCTCGATGACGTGGCCTGTGTCGGCAACGAGTCGCACCTGTGGCGATGCCCGGCTGGAACCTTGGGCCAACACAACTGTCATCACGTCGAGGACGCAGGGGTGGTGTGCATGGGTCAGTTTTTCGTCCATTTCTAACTCTTTGTCCATCCCCCTCCCTCTCTCTCTCTCTACTCTATATCCAAATCCTTTCTCCATCTTTATATCACTCACTCTGCCCTCTTCTTCTTTCTATCTCTCCTTCTCCTAGCCTCTCTGTCTCTTAGCTTCTCTGGGTCGCACTGTCCCGAATCTCCATATCTGCAATTATAGGCATCATATTTTTAGCGCCAAAACATAAAGTCACTGCGCTTTACATTGTAACGTGTGAAGTGCTTTCAGACGTCTTGAACAGGTGATGAAGCGCTTTTTCAAAAAAATGTCACTCTCTCTCTCTCCCCCACCAATGTCCCTCTCTGTCTATCTCTCTCTCCCGCTGTCTTTCTCTCACACATGCACACAGTTTCTCTCCCTCGATCTATCTCTTTCACACAGTCTCTCTCTCTCGCTTCTCTCTTTCTTATCTGAGTCTCTCTCTCATTTCTCTCTTTCAGTCCCTGTCGCTACCTCGCAGTTAAGCTTCATTTTCTCTCTGTCCCTTTCTCTCCCAGACGATCACTCTAGGCATTCGTTGACTGTGGGCTTCTCATTCGTGTCTATGAATCTCACTCAGTCGATCCTCCAATCACTCGTTATACCTCATTCCATCACTTTCACCCTCACTCTCTCCATCAGTCTCTCTATATCTGACCAAATCTCCCCACGACTGTTTCGCACACTCACACTGCACCTCTCCGTCTCTCAATGCCATATGTAGACTTCCTTCCCCGCCATCTCACACACTCTTTATCTGCCCTTTAACATACATTTTATCTCTCCATCCAGCACTCTCCACACCTATCCCTTTCTTCCTCACACACGAGTCTTCTGACTCTGCAACTCCGCCAGCTCCTCTCACACTCATTCTCCCAATCTGCCAATATTTGACAGCTCCATTCGACGCTCACACTCATCTTCTACAACGACACTTTCCACACGCTCTCCATCAGTCACTTTACTCCTCTTTCTACTACCCTCCATTTCTCTCAAATGCTCTATATCCATCAACCGCATTCTATATCTCCCTCCATCGCTCCAACGCTGAATCTCCATCCGTCACACTCTACCTCCATGTGTCCGTCGAACACTCAGTATGTCCATGACTTCTTTCCTCCATCCGCCTTTCCCACAATCGCTCCAGCTGTCACTCACTCTTCATGCCTCCCTCATTTCCTCTCACGTTCTCTCCATCCTTCTGTAACTCTAGACCTCCCTTCGTCTACCGCACACTCACACCAGTTATCCATCACTCGAATCACTCCTCTCTATGTCTCAATCCATCACTCTAACACTCACTCCAGCTGCCGGTTGTTCGGAACCTCCCTTGGTCAATCTCACACTGATTCTCTCCATCCTTCTCTCTGATCCACTATATACGTGACTTCCAAACCCAAATCTTCAGTCAACCGCACACCGTATATTCCTCGCTTCATCTCTCTGACAACCTCACTCCCTATATTAACCTCTTCGGCTTGTGAAGGTCTGGTTTACACTTCAGCATGTTTAAAAACACGACCAAAGACCACAATTTCAAACTGAATGCCCTTCATCGCGTTCCAGGATGGAGCGCACTACGTTTCTTGGGCAATACGTTCCCAGCCTAAGCTTCCCTCCTTCTGTGTAACGAATCAATTGTGGGTTCTGATGTGAATCTAACCCTCAAACCTTCCCCTTGATGTTCAAGACTTGTGGAGGCGAGGGAACAAGCAAAAATTCACATTTACTTTCAATTGAAGCGTGTCGGTGCGACATAGAGAGTCTTTGTGAGATTAACTTTACTGTGTTTTAATTCCAGATCCACTCCAGAAACCATCAATTTCCCTCAAGCCGGATTTCCGCATGTTTATGAGAGGGGAAAGTGCTGAGATCTCATGTTCTGGGAATTATCCTGGCAGCGAATTCCTTTTATACAGAGACGGCGAGTTTATCGTATCACAACCAGCTCCACAGTATAGCAACATGACCACATTCACCCAGTCGGAGATTATTTCAGGAAATTACTCGTGTAAATATACTGCACATGTTGATGGCCGAGAGTTCACATCACCAGAGAGCGATCAAGTGGGAACGTTTGTGTCGGGTAAGAGCTGAGTAAACTCTCACACAGCAAACTCTTTGTCATTCGATCATACACAGCGTATCCTGTTTTAACTACTCTTTGCAAAATCGATCATATTTCCATGTTATCTCCTGGTGTTGGCTGAAATACCCAACCGGAAACCCATCCGCGCGATAAAACACTTTCCAGGTTCCAGGTCCTCTCTTCCCGCTCGCATTCATAATATCGAGGTTTGACTATGCAAACTTGCTTGTCGGCCGCAGACCTCCTCTCTCCACTGGCTGCTGATCTTCCTGAAGTCTGCAGCCCGTATCCTCTCCAACACCACACTCGGTGAATCTAAAAATGCTATCTTCCCCCGCTTCCACTAGCATAAGTATCACAAAGAGGATATGGTTCAAGATGCTGGTCTTCCCCTTCAAACCCCTCCTTGGGCTTGCGAACACTTATTTCTGCGAGATCATTACGCACTACCATTCTGCCCACTGCCTCTGCCCGGCTGTATCCGGCCTGCTTCAAGTCAGTCGCCACCTGCACCACACCATTGGTGTGCGGGTCTTCTGCCACTCTGCTCCCACTCCATCCTGTAATCACTCCAACTCTTCCACTCCCTTGCCTCACACAAAACCCATTCCCAAAACCTCCACTTCGACCGCTCTTTCGATCACCGTGCTTCACGCCCTGCCTACCGCACACACGCCACTCCGCCCGCTTGGATCCGAAACACTAACGGTCCAGCGCCTTGGGACTTCCCCTCCACGTCAAAGGCGCTTCAGTAATGCAATGTTGTTGCTACCGATCGTTTTGTACATTCTGTACTTCTGTAAACTAATAGCGAGGTCTGAAGAAAGTAGTGAAGTTGATGTTGTGTTTGTGGACTTTTAAAGTGTCTATAATAAGTTGGCACATGAATGATTTATGAGCAAAATTGAAGGCCTTGGGTTTAAGTGTACAGATCAGTGTGGATCTGAACTTTGCGCGAGTCAGTTTGCAGAGTGTTATGCCAAACGCTTATTTTTCTGGCTGGAGTGAGCTATACAGTGGTGTACGACATGTGATGGACATGGGATCGATATAAAAAACTGGTCTTCTTAACATATGATGATGAACTGGAATTGGGTACAAACGTTAAATGTTTAAATTTTGCGGATGATACAAGAATTGCAAACATGATCACTTTTTAGGAAAAGTGCAGCAGATTGCAGGAGCACATCGTCAGACTGGTGAAATAGGCAGAAACATAGCAGATGGAGTTTAACGCAGAAAATTGTGAAATGACGCATTTTGGAAGGACGAATGAGCCAATATACATGGTTGAGTTTTAAAGGAGGTACAGGAGAGAGAACTCGGTTTTCGCAAACACAGGTCTTGAAGATGCAAGGAAAGGTTATCAGGGCTGATAAAACGTATATGGGCCTCATGGCAAATTAATTGTAAATTTGGCTGATCGACATAATATGAAATTTAATGTGGACAAACGCAAAATTGTTCACAAGGCGAAAAAACATCCTGGAAGGGACTATACCTAAATGGGAAGGAAATAATCTGCATTTGAACTGCTTGTCAATAAAGTGAAGTTGTTAGGACTATGCTCGGTAGCAGTGAAAGAGGCAAATCAGATATTGGTTGTAGGACAATGTCAAAATTAAGCCGAACTAGTGGAATAATCCTGACTCTTGAATAGTCAACTGGGGCGACCGCGCTAGGAATATAGGAATATTGTTCAATTGTGGTCACCGCAATATCAATATAATATAGCAGGATTTTGGAGTCTACGAAGTACCGCAGCACAAATAAATGAGGGGATGGAGAGATCCACTGTGACGATCGTTTCGTTGATATCGGCGTATTGATAATGGAGAAGCGAAGGTTGAGTGCCGATAGGATTTAGATTGTGAAGGGAATGGATAATGTAAACTATGACAACATGTTTTATCTTGTGTTGATTGATAGAACGAATTGGATAGATTTCTGCCTCAAAGCAGTATCTCAGTATAGAGTGTTAGTTTGGGAGACAACATAAGCGACTGCCAAGATTGTGGAATCAACCTGGATGGACCTCGGCTTTCTTTGGCAGCCATTTCTTATGCTGTTAGATTTGCAAATCACTGTTTTGGCCTTCGAAGGACTATTGTGTCCAAATCTGCCCACCACACTTGGAATGGCAATATCTCACACTCACTTAATCTCATCAAAAGGTTACATGGATTCACGGCTAGATAACTTGACTCTTTTCCATCCACACTCTCAATCTCTCTCTCTCTCGCTATGTCACGCTCCTTCTATCTATCTCTCGCTCTGTCTCTGATTATCGCTCTTTCTCACTCACTCACTGGCTCATACTGTCTCAAACTCGCAGACAAGAAGCTTTGTTGATCTCCCCCACTCTCTCTCTTTCTTTGTCTGTCTGTTTATCTGCCTGTCTGTCTTACTCATTCACTCTCGATCTCTCTCTCTCTGTTCCTCACTCACTGACTCTCTCTCTCTCTCTCTCTCTCTCTTACTCTCTCGCTCTCTCTTTGTTACTCAATCTCGCTCACTCGCTCTTACTCACTGTCGCTCTCTCTCTCTCTTACTCACTCACTCTCACTCTCTCTCCCTTACTCATTCATTCTCTCATTATCCTCAAACTCGCAGACAAGATGGCTTGTTTATCTCTCCTCTCTCTCTCTCACATACAGAACAGATGTACTTACGGCTTGTCAATGGGTCTCATGCCTGTTCGGGCCGGATTGAGCTGCTGTTTGAAGGGCAATGGGGCACAGTGTGTGATGATGATTGGGATTTGGCTGACGGTCATGTTGTTTGCTCGGTGGTGGGCTGTGGGCCGGCAATTGCAGTGGAGACCAATGCGAGATTTGGACAAGGACAAGGACAGATCTGGCTCGATGACGTGGCCTGTGTCGGCAACGAGTCCCATCTGTGGCGATGCCCGGCTCGAACCTTGGGCCAACACAACTGTCATCACGGCGAAGACGCAGGGGTGGTGTGCATGGGTCGGTGTTTTCGTCCATTTCTAACTCTTTGTCCATCCCCCTCCCTCTCTCTGTCTCTACTCTATATCTACATCCTTTCTCCATCTCCATATCACTCGCACTGCCTCTTCTTCTTTCTATCTCTCCTTCGCCTTGCCTCTCTGTCTCTTAGCTTCTCTGTGTCGCACTGTCCCGAATCTCCGTATCTGTAGTTATAGCCATCATATTTTCAGCAACGAAACATAAAGTCACTGCACTTTACATTGTAATCTGTGAAGTGCTTTGAGACGTCTCGAACAGTTGATGAAGCGCTTTATCAAAAAAATTCTCTCTCTCTCTCTCTCTCTCTCAAGTCTCTCTTCACCAATGTCCCTCGCTCTCTCTCTCTGCCTCCCTCTGTCTTTCTCTCACACACGCACACAGTTTATCTCCCTCAATCTGTTTCTCTTTCACACACTCTCTCTCTCCCTCTCTCGCTTCTCTCTTTCTTATCTGAGTCTCTCCCTCATTCGCTCTCTTTCAGTCCCTGTCGCGCTCTCATACAGACGCACACACTCTTTCTCTCTCCATGACACCATTCTTCATCAGTAAGAATCCTGTTCTCGCTTCCTCTCTCTTGTCTCGGGATTCGGTGAGTGTGAGCTTTTCATCACTGTCTATCTCTTAGGCTCATTCACAGTATCCGTCATTTACTTCCTATGCCTCCCTGAATCACTCTCACCCTCACCTTTTGTCCATGACTTCTTTCCTCCATCCGCCATTCCCACGCTCTCTCCAGTTGTCACTCACTCTTGATGCCTCCATCATTTCCTCTCACGTTCTCTCCATTCTTCTGTAACTCTAGACCTCCCTCCGTCCACCGCACACTCACAGCAGTTATGCATCACTCGAATCACTCCTCTCTATGTCTCAATCCATCACTCTAACACTCACTCCAGCTGCCGGTTGTTCGGAACCTCCCTTGGTCAATCTCACACTGATTCTCTCCATCCTTCTCTCTGATCCACTATATACGTGACTTCCAAACCCAAATCTTCAGTCAACCGCACACCGTATATTCCTCGCTTCATCTCTCTGACAACCTCACTCCCTATATTAACCTCTTCGGCTTGTGAAGGTCTGGTTTACACTTCAGCATGTTTAAAAACACGACCAAAGACCA